GCCCCATACCGGACGGGGTATGGGGACGACCCTTTTCACCTCATACCGGACGGGGTATTGAGGTTCATGATTTTGTCACCCATACCGGACGGGGTATGGGGACGGCTCTGGAATCAGGTTGTAAATGTTAATGGTTCACGTGTAGCGGAGTCCCCCTATGGATCCCCATGGATACTAGTAGGCTAGTAAAAGAGGAAATCTGTTTTCTGATGCTTGAAATGTAAAGGTATGATATGTGTTATGTTATAAAGTGTGTATGATTTCATGATATTATAAGGTTATTGTTTTCATAGATCTCACCGAGGTAAGTGGACAGTAAAAGTTTTTATATTAATAAATGAGTTCGTTATAAATTATGCTCAATTGGTCATTTTTATTTTCTACCCACCTTTACTTCCGTGGCGGTGAGATAGTGTGATGTCTTTACTAGGCTGGTGTAGCTCATCCCTTATTTAACTATTTCAGATCAAGAAGACGTTGTTCCCGAGCCCGTTCCGCAGGAAGACGGCAAAGGGGACGCCTAAAGACTTTATAGTTATATTTATAGTTTTTATTTCGAGTATCTCTTTTAGTTAGTTTGTTCCTTTATGTTTTGAGTACGTTTTGGTTATTGTTTAAGGGATGTTAATCAAAATTTTTATTACGCTTCCGCATTTGAGATTTTTAATACATATATTTCATTTAAATTTTCGGAGCCGTTACAATGGTCCCCAATTTAAACGTAAATTTTTTTGATTCTGATATCTCATAACCAGAAATAGAGTGAGTGTGAAAACTCAAAAGACTACGTACTAATTTAGAAGATCTACCGAATGGTATGCAGATTTCTTCCGCTATACATTCAGGTATGCTTCTGTTACAGATTTAATCTATGTGATTTAATATGAGTTTGGTTATTTAGATTTCACATTTAGTTTTGAAATCCCTACATAAAGTGGTAACTTGTATAAGTCAATAATGTAATTAGTGACATCTATGATGGTATTGGTGAGTTTGTTGACAGCTTCAAATTATAGTGAAAATGAGTTAAAATGATATGAAGTGTTTAGCATTTGCTTGAAAGAGAGATATGGATTTGACCAATGAATTTGAGGCATAAACCTAAAGAACAAGCTAGAATTCACTATAAGTTGCAGCAAAAGCTATTAAGTATAACGCCAAGTTTACTTTCCATGAGTGGCTTGAAAAGGCATTGAGTAACATGATTTGTTCTTGTATTGATATCTTTCCTTATAAGCACTTTCATGATATCTGCCATGTATATGCCCTATGTAAGGAATAATCCTTAAATGATGTAATTTTACATACATGAAGTATGAGAAACAATAGTTTAGATATATTTAGAAAATTATTTTTAAGACCATTTTATATTTAATTTAATTAAAAGGGATAAATTTTAAATAAAAAATACATTAATTCCACATAAAAAATTTTATGTGAAATTAAAATGATAGATTTTAATTTTAAATAAAATTTTATATGGAATACACCATTTGAATATAATATAAATTCTTTTAATTAAATTAAATATAAATTTTTGAATAGTCAGATACCTTAAACAAGACAAAACTATAAAAAATTTTATTCTAAAAAAATAAATCAAATTGATCATGTGAAATTGGACAATTCTTTGTCATGTGAAGTTTGAGAATTAGCATTCCATCCCTTATACAACAAGATAAATATTTATTCATCTATGTCACAGGTTGAAATCATTATGTTACTTTTTCCTTGTTGCCATTTAACCCAACAAGCAAAACTATAGTAAAAGAGATCTAACTCTGATAATTTATTAAAGTTATCATAACTAATAATTTGTTTAAAAACAAAATATGACATAAAAAATAATATAATTTTTGACATTAATCCCCAAAATTTATTATAATGAATATAAAATATTTTTTTAATAATTATAATTTATTTTGTATAATTTAGTTTATTAACTAATTGATTAGGTAATACATTTAAAATAGTAAATATCACGTTCAAAACAATTCAAAAGATGACAGAAAATATATGTTTGTGGAAAAAAAAAAAAGATAAATATTTATAGTACTTGACTATTGATTCTTTTGATCTTTTTTACATAAAATTGTTAGGTATTTTTTTCCTAAAATGATATCTATATTTATTGGGATTTTCAAATGAAAATAAGAAAAATTTAATTTTAGGTAAATTAAAATTAAAAAATTATTCAAAACTTATAAAATACTAATTTAAAAATTAAGAACTTTATATGTAGTAATAAAAATTGAATCATATACTACTAGATTAATTGAATGCAATTATACCAAATTAGATGCGAGTGAAACTAAAATGTCTCTATTTTCTTTATTAAAAATAATCAACATCTAATTTAGTATTTAAAGAGTATATATGGTAATTTGAATATTAATAATACAATTGTGGATTGAAACAAAATTAATAAAAGTTTTAAGAGAATGAATAACAAAATAAAATTTTATGTAATACATTATAAAATGTATATATATATATATATATATATATAAAATTTAAGGAAAAAAAACAAGCTTAATCACAAAAGGCAATTTATTCATATCGAAGCTCAGCAAGAGGAAGCCCACAGAAGGAAGAAGCCCAAAACGCCATGAGAGAGTCGGTGCTGGTTCGCAATCGTGCGAGCCAATAGAGATGCCAAGTGGGCGAGCCACGATGGAGAATCTGGGATGGATGAGAAAGACAACGACAGGTGGATGATGATTCCGTGATTTCCAGTCGGAAGAGAAAGAAGGAAAAAATGGGTAAACAACCAACAATTTAAGGAAAAAAAAAAAGAAAAGAAATTGAAGAAACAAGAATATGCGAGCACTATCGCCATTAATTGCGTATGGTTGCCGCTCTTGTTCGCCCCTTCTAAAGCGATTTCTATCCTGTAACCATCGTCGCCTACCTCTCTTCTACACTCTTTCTTCTTTTCCTCACAATCACAATCTCTCTCATCTCCTTCTCACGGGTAACTCTCTCTTCTTCTGCATGGAGGTAACTCCCTTTCTCGCTCTGTTTCTGGATATAGTTTATTTCATTTCTTTGTCTTCTCTTACTTGTATGACTGTTTTCATTGGAAAAATCTTAAGAATTGTTTTAAAGGGATTGTTTTGGTGAGACCCACTTGCTTAGACTGTGAGGAATCTGGAGAACTGAGTTTTGCTTCGGTTGTTTGATCCTGCCATGGGTCTTTGGAGTTTGGATTGGAGAGCAATCAAGTTTTTTTTTTTTTAAAAAAAAAAACTGCTACGTTTGAGAGATCGAAGATTTACAAAATCTGAAACTACATCAATTTTAAAAAATCTTGTAAAATGAAGATAGTCTTTGCCAGGTTCAATTAGAGTTCCAACATGAACAGTAAATTTACATTTTAGTGGCTGTATTGACATTCAATGTTTAGATGTCGACAGTATCTCTTTGTAGTTAATAAAGTTGTAGTGTTACGGGGGACTGTGGGAGGGGGGTCTTGTATTTTTTATTAATCGTAGAAGAAGATTCAGATTAGATAAGTTGCTCGTACAGGGCTATTTGTTTCAAGGAGTATGGATATTCTGTGTTCTGCTGCTTATTTCTGATGGGAGTCACTGCTCCCTCATTTCTGATAACGTGCAAGTTTGTACATGTCCAAGGGCCTTGGACCTGCAAGCTCTGCCCATAGTTACCCAGAATATCCAGGTGATCTTAAGTTCATGTTTGCTAAAGAAGGATTACGTATCTTGCAATTTTTCCTAGAAATAGCATGACTAGGCCATGCATGCGCACTTTCTCTACAATTTGTGCTAGATAGCAGGTAATAAATTTTGGTGACTTTGCTGTCGGTTTCAATTTCTTTCCGCTCAACAATTTTCAAATTATTCTGCTTATAGTGTTGTTGTTTATTTTATACTTGATTGTGAAGAGATCATTGTTGTAGAAGACAGTGACCCCAATTTTGCAATGTTGCTATAGAACAGCAATGGCAATGGCCTGGCGTGCTGAGTTTTCTAATTGTACTGGATATTTTGGTGCTTTTGATGTACTCTCAATCAATGTTTTTTGCCCAGTTCATCTGTTTATATGTTATCAGTTTTCCTCTCCAACTATAGTAGATAATTGTGTTTGCTCTTTTCACTCAGTATCATAGAACAACACAATTAAATAATTTGATTTTTTGTACAGCGACTGTGGAGTGGCAGTGGCATTAACCAGAATAAAGCAATGGTTGAGAATTTGCAGCATTATGGAGTAATTAGTTCAAAGAAAGTTGCTGAAGTGATGGAGACTGTAGATAGAGCTTTGTTTGTGCCAGATGGAACACCGCCTTATGTTGATAGCCCAATGTCAATTGGTTACAATGCAACAATTTCTGCTCCTCATATGCATGCAACATGTCTTCAGCTGCTGGAGAAGAATTTGCAGCCTGGGATGCATGCTTTAGATGTTGGCTCAGGTTCTGCTTCTGCTCAATTTACCTTTTTTCCATTAATGTCAGTGTTCATGCCTTTATCTTCTATAGCCCAATTGTTTCTTTCTTATTTGCTCATGTAATTGCAGTGTTACAATTGACTCAAGTAATTGCATCTTCTAGTTAGGAATAGGAGGATGTTTTTTTATAAAGAATATTATATTTGTCAAATCATACTGTCCTTCCATCTAATCAATTTTTCTTTTTGTTTCTTATATTAGCTTCTCGTTCTTTTCCTTCTGGACTGTTGTTTGGTGAAGTTTTTCTCCATTCATGGTAGGCTTTGCAAGTAACCAGTTATAAAACTCCAAGTGCTAACTACATGTATATATGCATACATATATAAATATGTAAACTATTGCATTTGCTATTTTCATAGTATCTTATTTTAATACACAATTATCTGCATGATAAAATGTGTGGGTTTTTCTCTTTGCCCAAATCATATGATTCTTCCACCAAATTAAGATTTTCTTGTTGATTCTCCATTTATTGATTTATACTTGGTAGTTAATGCCCAATTACGAGTTCCTGGAGATATTGTGAGCATAGCACTATTTCTTGATCTAGATAGTCGATCTTGTTTATGAAACACCCTCAACGCATAGATTCATGTACACGGTTCAGGATGGCATTGGGGTGGGAAAACTTCTTTAACTGTTCTGTCTTATCCTAATGAGATAGATCAATGGGGCAAAAATGTGGATTCGTCTGGATGGGTATGACGCAGCTGGGTAGTGAGGCAGGCATGGGGGACACCTTGCTCTCCCTATTGTGCCTAGTTAAGCATTGTTTATATATTCTTTTTGTATTTACATATGCTATTTGATATTTTCTTGTATTATTTTAATATAAAGAGTTTATATGATACTTTAAAATTGACAATTTAGCACAGACCAATTTAGTCTTAGTTTTTGTTTCTTGTAATTAACTTATAGATAACTTATACAATTAAATAAAATTATAGGTGGATAGCTAGAGTATGGGATGTTGGAATGGATTGTAGGCAGAAGTTTCATCCGTGGTATGAGATTAGAGGAAGAATTTTCTTGCCACTCTGAGAATTTGCAAAGGCGGGAGAGGGTATGGGATAGTGGGGCAGGGATGGCTAGGGTTCTGCAACTCATACACACCCCCATTGCCAGATCCATCCTGATAATCTACAGATGTTTTGAGTTTCCTTATCTGATAATATCTTCTGACAATAAGAAATTTGAATTTGATCTACTCCATTTGTTTCTATAGGAACTGGATATTTGACAGCCTGTTTTGCGGTGATGGTGGGAAAAGAAGGCTGTGCTGTTGGTGTTGAACATATTCCTGAATTAGTTGCTTCTTCAATAAAAAATATTGAGAAGAGTGCAGCAGCTCCATTGTTGGAACAAGGTTCCCTTTCCATTCATGTCGGAGGTATGTTTTTGGAAGCTCACATTTTTTCTTTGAGAGCTCCAATAATGACCTTCTGTAGTTCGACTCTCTTAAAATAAATAAATCATAAGCTTATACCAACTACTACATAATAAAAATAATCTTTCAATAAGGATGTTATATGCTACAATTTAAGCAAATGCAGCTCATTGCTGAGGTACAGCATTTCATGAAATAAAGAATTTGCAAAGAAAACGAAGGTAGTTTTGCAAGAAAGCAATCTCCTTCTAGAAAAAATGAGGAATGTATGCCATTCATTTTTTCCCTGAGAAGTGAACAACTCTTTTAAAAATTTTATTGATATTAATATTGAGACTGACCCACGGGCATAAGGAATTGTATGCATTCGTATATACCCCTTTTCCTTCATCTCCCACTAGAATTTACGTTCTTACAGATTTGTGCTTTTAAGTTTTGACATACTAGGAATAGGATTAATTTCAGCTTTCTTGAACCATTTGTCAGCACAGGAACTTAAAGAAAATGAAACAATCTGCATATCTGATGCCTATTTGGTTTGTTTAGTAAGAGAAATCAAGTTACCTCAGTAACTTTTAGCTAGTAAATTTTCTTAATTTTGTTATTGACTTGGACAAAAACTGTGCTTGTCATGATAGATGGAAGACTAGGGTGGCAAGAGCTTGCTCCTTATGATGCCATACATGTGGGGGCGGCAGCTCCAGATATTCCTCAGGCTCTCGTTGACCAATTGAAGCCTGGAGGCAGAATGGTAATACCAGTGGGAAATATTTTCCAAGATCTGAAGGTGGTAGACAAAAACTTGGATGGCTCTATCAGTATTCACAATGAAACATCTGTGCGATATGTTCCTTTGACCAGCCGTGATTCTCAATTGCGCGGCTATTGAGGTTATGGATAAATCTCTCCACCAGCACTTGAAAGCCTATGGTTGCGAATAAAGACTGTAAACACCACAACCTCTTTGCAAAGAATTTGTGGGAATGTACAGAATGAAATATGTGAATTTAGTGTCAATTAGGAGTGTTTTACTTTTTTCGAGTTCATACTTTGCCTCTCTGTAAATGATCTAAAGAATTGAGAATAAAATGATCTGATTGCCATTTAGCCATCTTGTCTTGAGGTTTATTATGAAGGGGGGCATTTAATCACCATGATTTATCTCTCTTATGTAAGATATTTTATCAAGAGACTAGTGACCAATAAGAGTGGTTTGGGTGCTAATCTTTTATTGGTGAAATCCTATTTAGAGAGTTGTTTGGATCACTCACACTTGCCATTAGTAAGTAAATAATCAACATCAAAATCCAATGAAAATAACTATAACATTACTAGCACCTAAAATGTGTCAAGTATAAATAGCTTATACAAGGCATTTAAAGGAACAAAACCAATAGAAACATTTAAAGGAGCTAAAACAATCTTCCTTTCAAATAGCGGACAAAAATTCAGTATTACATATCTCATCGAGGATTTGGAAAAGAAAAGAGAACCAAAATGGAAAAGGAAATAAAAAAAAAAACTCCATTGCCAAATGTCCTCGTATTAATGTGGTTTCAATATCAAAAGCTGCGCCTTGGCCTTTCCTCTGCTACGTTTACTCTAATTGCCCTTCCATCCAGACTCTGAGCTCAATGCACCCAAATGACAAATAAACAGATTGCCTTGTTATGGATGCTTAGAAACTTAAAGCCATATTCTTGATAATCAAAAGTAATCAAGCTTTTGCTATTGTGTTGCCTCTACACATGAGTGAGGTACCATAAAACTTCAAATGAAATCTTAGCTTGAATTAGCTAAAGAAGAGGAACTTTACCTGCCCATCAAGAGCAGCAATTGCATCATTCAATTCAGTCTCATTGGACATGGTCACAAAGCCGAACCCACGTGAGCGGCCAGTCTCCCGGTCATAAACTACTCGAGCTTCAACAACCTTCCCATGTTCACTAAAAACCTGCTCCAGGCGAGCATTATCCACATCCCATGGCAGATTTCCCACATAAACTCTGAAGCAGGTTCAAACACTCTTGGTGGCCGTTCTGGCTTTGCTCCTCTAGGAGCAGCCTTATTTACAGTCAAGAGCCTTCCATTTAAATCCTGTGTGCAAAACAGAAGAAACCACAAAACATCTTATTAAAAGCATAATTCTTGGCTGGTGGTCAGGCAGGCAAGTAACAAGAAATAGGAACAGCCCATGTGGAGAGCAGGAAATTTTTCAGTGACTGAGTGTAATGTTGCGTCATGCATATTTTTGCCATTCTATGTTCAGTTGAAAAGAAAAGAAACCACTGATTTAAAATCATATAGAAGCATAAATCCACGTAGAGGATGATGTATCAATCTATAAATAGAATATTTCCAGAAACTTATTTTTTTCAGCCACAAACTAACTGGGTGTAAAATGATCCTGACGGGTGATAGAATTATTTGAATACAGATCTGATCATGCAAAAATTTTCTGAAGTAGAAAGTAGAAGCTTTATGATATCAAGACCATAAGACGGAGCTATTAGGATGTACTTGGCCATAACACCTGCTTCCAGTAAGGATAGTGCGTACCTCCAATGCCATGCAAAGTAAGTTCTAAATTAAAATCTACCAAGCAATGCTTTTCAAAAGCAGTGAAATAGGACCATACCCTCAGGGCAGTAGTCAGTAGTCAAGCATGCATGACTTACACAACTGCTAAAATTCACTGGCTAGTGGCTATGTAATTCCAGTAACCTTGAAATGGAAATGCAACGGCTGTGAAGAGGAACTTCCACTGAGATTGTCTATATAACTACTATATGTGAAGATAACATTTCTACAACATCTGGCAACAAGAAACTAAAATCATGGGTTATGATTTGCAAGCATTTATATGCAGATGATACTAAAAGTCAATGTCTGTCTTGGTTAGTTTAAGGAAAAAACATAACTTTTTCACCAATTGATTTCTCCTGTGTTCTCCTAATAAATAACTTGATAATGTAGTTCAACCATTTCCATCTGTAAGTTCCAGACCTAAAACATAACTTGTCATTTAACTATTACTTGGATAAGTTAGGCCAGATAAGATCACCTCCATAGCTATCATATTCTCAAATATGATAGGGAGATATACCCATCAGCCGTGTTTTTCTATTTAATATATCTTATTAGCTACGATTTACTTAGAACTTTTATGGAGTTAAGAGGGAGAGAATTATCTTATTGTAACAGCAGAAGGAACAACAACCATTGAATATATAGCAGGATAAAGAATCAGCATATCATAGGCAATCGTGGCATAATTTGAGATTAACAACCAGGTATCTACTCATTATAAGCTCCGGTAAGAATCAAATATATCCTGCTCAGGGAAGGTAAACAAACAGAAAGTCTACCCCTTTAAGGCTATATTTGGAACAGATGTGTTCCAGGATTTTCATCTTTTCATGAACTTTTAGTTGAACTAAATATAAAATTTCAGTTGAATTCCACAAAACAGTTATTTGTTCCAACCACACCCTGCTCTGTTTGGTTTAATTCGCATTCAGTTGTCAGTTCTAATTCTCATGTTATTCCTAATATGTATAATTAGATCATAACTTATTACATTTAAATTACCACCACACACAATTTGAATTCATTGATGGTGAAAATTCAAATTCAAATCCAACCAAGAAATTGAACGAAATTTTCACCCAAGGCAACACAAGCGACTTGATGCTACATGTCAAAATCTGTTAGATACATAAGAAACCATCTACAAAAATTAACACCTATTGAAAATATAGATTTTCAAAACCAAATATTGGGCAATATCAACAGCTAGCAGCTAACTGAGATTTGCTCTAGAATGGAAAGCAAATGAAAATGGCAACCTTGGATCACAATGCAAATAAGGGAGATTATATCGACAATTTCAAGGAAGCGTGTCAGATATTAATCCACAGATATTAAAAAGTTTTGATTTAGTTCCTTTTATTGCCGTGGGACGCAAAAACATCTAACAAAGAAATGTGTAAAGGCAGAGTAAGTTCAAAAGAATTCAGCGAAGAACTAAAGAAAACTCACGTAACGGTGGAGCTTTTCCACGGCCGTTTCAGCTTCTTCGACAGTACTCATGGTCACAAACCCGAACCCACGGCTCTGATCAGTTTCCCTGTTGTATATAACCTGTAGCCAAAATTACCAAAGGAAAATAATAACCCCATAACAAACCCTCCAAAGCCATCGATGTCACAAAGAATTCTAAACATAGACAGCAAAGAGCACAAGAGAACATTTTACCTCAGCAATTTCCACTGTCCCAGCTTGCTCGAAAAGCATGGCCAAGCTTTGACTATCTACATCATAAGGCAAATTTCCAACAAATAACTTTGCATCTTCAGGTGGTTCAACGAACTCATCTTCCGCTCCTGATTCCGGCTCTCCCTCCTCAAAAACCCCAACTTCACCGCTCTCTCCTCCTCCACTTGCTTCAACCACAGAATGCTCGCCATCGGGTTCCCAATCCGATACTTTGGCCTTGGTCTCATCATCATATTGGTTTTCCCATGTGGACTCTTCTTCCTCTTGTCCGTCAATGGTGGTGACGGTGTTACTTTCTTCTTCTCCTTGTTGGGCCCAATCTGAGGTCTGAGCAACAAAAGTCAGAATAGAAGGGAAATGGGTCTTGGGTTTGAGATAGGAAGACCGTAAGGAGTGTGAGGAGTGAGAGTAAGAGAGGTGGAGCTTGACATGTCTGGTTGGGATAGGTATAGAGAGATATGGAGCTTTTGAGGTGGTGGTGAACATGGAGGGAAAAGAGAGCAGGTATGATGAGTCTGTCATTGCTAAGGGCTTGAAGATAGATGTTGCTGTAGAAGAAGACATTTTGAGAGGGAGGGGGAAAGGAGGAGAGGGTTTTAGGGAAGAGCAGGGAGAGGATAAGGAGCAGAGCGGAGAAAGAGAAGTTTAAAGCAAGAAGGAAGGGTTGTACATACATTCACTTCTATGCTATGCGAGGTCCAAAATCTCTTATCTGCCATGGGCTCCATAGGCCTCTTCACGATTTCTTTTTTCTGTTTTTATTTTTTCCATTGGGCTGTTAAAATTTTATTATGTTTTATTTTTAAAGTGAATTTAAGAGTTACTAGTTATAAATTAAAAGTGACTTAGTTTTTTCAATTATAAATTAGTGGTGACTTAAGTTTAGCAGTTATAGTTTAGTGGTGACTTAATTTCAATAATTAGTGGGGTAGTGTTTATTTATTTAATTTTTATTTAAATTAATTAATTTTATAAATAAAATTTATTTGAGTTGAGTTTAGTTCAGTTTTTTTATATATACAGTTTCCATTATTTTATTTTTACACGGGCTTGATTCATATTCAAATTCGATAAAATTAAAATGATAATATAATATAATATAAATTTCATACAAATTTGAGTAAAAAAAGTATTTAATTATCGAAGTTAATTTCTTGCCCGATTCATTTCAAATGTTCTTTGTAATTTCTTTTGTCACATGTTTGACTGAGAAATTAAAGACGAAGGAAGTACATCAAATATGTACGCAAAAATTAATTTTTATATATTAAATAATTAAAATATAGTAATGAAGTAAAAATAAATTGAATAATTGTTTGATAAATTGTATTTAAATATTGAGTCTTCTAAAATTTAAACTAGGAAGTAGAAGATAATTTCTCAATTTTGTACTTGTATTTTTTTATTGATGATAATAAATGTTTTGTATTTGTATTTATGTTATTAAACTTTGAGGGCAAAATATTAGAATATTTTTTCTTAATTTGCCTTATTTATTTTTTCGCTACAACAAATTTTTGTTAATTCTATTCTTTCATTCATCCTTGTGTGAATATTTACTTTATTTTAAAATTTGAACTGTATTATAAATATTTAATTTATTCTTTAATAAATTAACGTTGGAATTAAATTCGATAAAAAATTAGAGTGGACGAAATAAATATTTTTTGTTTAATGTAAAAAAATTTTTCTAACAAATATAAACATAAAAATATATTTATGTACAACTAATTAATATATAAACTGTACATATCTAAAAATTCCCACTAATAAATTGTGATATAAAGTTTACAAAATACATGAACATGTAAATACATATATTTCCATTTACATATATACATACACATATAAAGAGTAGGTGAAGTAAACAAAGAGAAACATGACTAGTCTTATTGAATAATGCTTCCAATGACAAAAAGAGAAGAGAGGTTAATAGAAAAATTCAATATCCCTTAATTTGGTTTGAAGATGAAGTTTGAATGTAAGTGTGAGTACTCCATCATCATCCTCGTATGCAAAATCCACTTTTTCCAGGTCCACTTCACAAGCCCTTGGTCTAATGTTGGAGGAGGCTCCAAATCTCCGACACCCACATACTCTTATCTTGATTCTACTGCATCCTGAAAAACTCATACTCTCCATTGTTCCTTCTGAATTATACATATGGATCAATCCTATCGGAGCAAAAAGAATATCTCCACCAAAAGCCTGTAATTATTTACATTGGCACATACACTAGAGAAGTATTTTTGTTTTAAAAGAAAATTCCAATTTACTGACTCAAATTATTGGTGATATGGTGTATATTTCAAATTCCGGAGTTTTCAATGATATACTTAAAGATTTCCTTTCTTTGGCAATTTGAAAAAGGATCCTGCAATGTAAACCAATTTGCATACAGGTCAATGCAAGACCTGACAATTATCGGTTAATGAGGAGAAGGCAGGGAGTTTGGCAACTAACCAGAATTGAACGCATATATTGCACAATCTCTGTTCCAATTTCCGCCGGCAACATCTGCTAGGAATTCAACATCCATAGGACTCACATGGCTAGATAGGGAGACAGTAGATGCTGCTACTTTTTCTTTTACTTGCTTCAGTGGCCAAGGCCAACCACCTTCTCCTTGACAATTAAAAACACCCACCACTCCACCTAACTTGTTCATATTCCAAATCTTGAGTATGCTGTGAATTCATAATTGAGCATAGAAAGATTTGAATAAAGGAAAACGTCAAAGGAGTGTTCAAAAATATACCTTTTTCCATCTATAACAGGATCTACAAAGAGACAATCTCGAGTAGGATGGCCAGCTTGTCTGCCCCTAAGGATGGATCTATCCGGCAACACCAGCTTCCTGAGGATATTGAAGTCATGAATGTCTAGCTTGTCGCTGTTGTTAAATGATTAAGAAGATAAACTTAGTGTACCAAGCAGAAACAAGAACAAGTATTAAAGACAGGAGAGGATGATTGTAAAGTTAACCTGGCTCACCTTACATATACTCCACAACCACCTATAGCCCTTGCAGCCCTATTGAAGTCTACTGAATTATGTTTGCTCTAAAAGGAAAACAAGAAACTTGGGTTTAGATTCTACCATAGCCAAACTTGGGTTTAGATTCTGCCATAGCCATCACTGTTTCAACATAGATTGTCTTGGTTGGTTCAGTTCTAAATTTCTTTCTATATTAAATTCATTTACTAATTATAGGTTCTCGCTGTCTTAAATTTTCTATGTAATTATATATAATTTTGTTATGATTCAATGTCATACCAACTCTTGAATAAAACAAAAATTAAACCATTTAAGGCAACAAAACATTTGAATTAGAATGTAAGTCTTATATTTGAATCTACTTCACTATTTACATTGAGTTAATATAAGAAAACTATGCAAAGAATTCAAGTTATGGATGAAATCAGATATGAGAAATGTAGTTTACCAAATTAAACAGATTGCTAAATGCAAATTAAATGAATTAGCTAACATCAATGAAAACCAGATTTATACATGGAAGCTACCGAAGTTACTGCGTTGTTCAAGAATCTGGAATCAAATTAATTGCAAATGAAAAGAGAGTTTTTGCTTGTGTAACTGTAACACCGTGCTTACCACCATGCTAAAATGTATTTAGAAAATCTTATTTATTTGGGTTTTAAGGTCACACTGAATTCATTTAATTTTATTTCACAGTTTTACATCATAATTCATAAATTATGCCAATTTTATTATTTTATTTAATTTAACCAAATTTTGTTAATTATTTTTATTATTTTTTTAAATAAATAATTTTCAGGAGAAAACAAGAAAAGGGGAAAAAATCTCACAAGAAAGCACCCGCGGGGGCACTGCGCGTTGTACGCGCATGACAAGCGCAGGACATGTGCACAGTGCGCATGTCCCATCTGCGTGAGGCGCTGGACTAGACCTGCATGCGTGGAAAAAGTTGGCATCGCACACTGTGTGCACACCTTTCGCGCAGCAGGCTCGTTCAGATAGGCCTGTGCGCATGGGGCCTGCATGGATAGGCCTGCGCATGGCGCCCCAGCGCGCCGTAGGCCCTGTACGCGGCAAGGTAGCCCGATGCCCTAGTGCGCCATAGGCCTTGCATGTGGCAGGGTAGCCCGGCGCCTGCAGGTTAGGTCTGCAATGCATTCCGGGCGGGTGAAGTCTTTATAAGCTTCCTCAGATGAAGATAACTCGGTTTCCCCTATTGAAGCGTAAGCTCTTCCTACCGGATTTTACCTGCTCAAATCTCATAATTTTTCCT